TTGAAACAGTTTGTCTTTTTCACTGAAAACTATTGTTATTCATTATAACTTCCAGTAAAATTAAAATAAGATAAGGAATCTGCATTTCTTTTTGTTTTCTATTTGGAATTTTATCTCTTTTTTTTTATGGGTGCAGGCACTAGGAAAGAAAGGAAGGTGTAGCTTAGGCTGTTGGGGAGAGTGGTCTGGAGGCATGAGCCAGGAAAGGGGTTGGCTTACATGTCAGGACTCATGCACTTCTCTCTATGCCTGGGCCTCTCGCTTTATCTTCCCAGCCTCAGTTATTTATGTATTTATTTTTTATCCAAGCAGGAGACCTTTGGATTAGAATCACTAGATATGCTTTATGTTTTGAATTTCTTTTCAAAGTTTCCTTTGGATCTACTAACGGTGTGACCTAGCAAACTATACTAAAGCTGAACCTAAGCAAATTAAAGGAAAATAAAAACAATAACCCACACATTGCTTATGATGTCTCTCAGGTACTTGCTAAGTATTTTAACAAAGTTATTTAGCTAGTAGGTGGCAAGAACAGATTTCAACCTGATATTTGAATAAGGCTTGTTGCAGTTTGTTTAAATGTCCCCCCAAAGCCTCCTGAAGTCATGGAGGCAGCTGAATATAGCATTTGTGATCAGATCATTGTCCAACACTGGAATTAGTGATGTGAGTGCTGCACCCACCTAGGGGCAGGAAACCAACATACAATATAAGGGAGGCAAAGAGGGGTGCTTTGCAAGGAGGCCTGCTTTCCCCTCTTTTGCCCTTTTGCTCTTGTTGCTTGCAGCCTCCATGAAAGGCTGCTCCTCAGCCAATGCCACCCTGCTGTGGAGACAGCTGAGTATGGCCTGAAACCTCCAAAAACTGTAAGCTAAATAAACCTTTCCCTGCTTTACTTTGGGCTTCAGATGTTTTGTCTCAACAATGAGTGAAAAGTAAGCATGACAAGGTTTGTTCGCTCCAAAATTCATGTTAAAGTTTAATCAAGTGGAACTGTTAGGCAGGGAGTTAGACATTAGCCAGCCCAACGGACAAAGGTGGGAGAAGGTCCAAAAGAGCATGCTTTGCTAATAACAAATAAGAAACAAGACTTCACTGTGTAATATATTTATAGTCATTTGGTACATCTCAGATATAAAGCAATCCTTCACAACACAATGACATTTTAAAATCACACATACATACATTCCTTTTGATACTTGGCCATTTGTGAATGTTTCCAAAACACAGCATACAGAATTCCTGGGTGCCATGCCTATACTCACCTATCTATGAAAGGGGAGTGTTGTTTAAAGATCCTTCCTCCTTGGGCTGAGACTTGATTTAGATTCTTATATGATTAGTATTTGTTTTAATATTTAGACCTTTGATTCATTTTGATTTTAGTTTAGTGCACAGTGATAGACATGGGTCTTCAGCATGTGGAGAGCCAGTTTCTCCAGCACCATTTATTACAGAAGCTTTCTTCCAGTGCAGGTGTTTGGCTCCTTTGTCAAAGATAGCGTGGCTAAGTGCATTTGGAGTTGATTCTAGACCTTTTAATCTGTTCCATTGATCTTTGAGACAGATTTTTTTTTTTGCCAGTGCCATGCTGTTTTTACTACAGTAGCCATGTAGTGTAGTTTCAAGTCAGGGATTGTGATGCCCTCTGCCTTGCTTTTGTTACCCAGAATTGCCTTTGCTATTCCAGGTCTCTTCTGATTATGAATGAATTTTAGGATTATTTTCTCTAACTCTGTGAGATAGGCTATTGGAATTCTGGTTGGGATTGCATTATATCTTTATAATAATTTTGCAGATAAAGTCATTTTCACAATGTTAGTAAAAGGAAGACATTTTTGAGATCTGAACATTCCAAAGTAAACCCTAAGAGAAATGTCAATATGAAAACACTGACAATTATCATAGTTCCCTAAAGCCCCAAAGCAACTTGTATGTGCATAAACAAGTATCCAAAGACACATTCAGTGCAGATGTCTTTGGGACATTCCCCATCTTCTCACCTGAAGGCATAACTGTCTACTTTGCAATAAATAGTACCTATACTTCTATATGGCCATCTATGTGTCTTTACTGAATTCTGGCAATGGCACAAAAACCAGGAATCAAGGAAGTAGGGCTTCAGTTTTTGCTGCTTTAGGACCTGGCTTGGTAGTGACAAAATTTTTATGAATTATTAGGAGTCTCTGCCCTCAAGAATGGCTTAATCTGTTCATACGATTAATAGGTTAAGAGGCTATTTTGGGAGTGGGTCTGTTGTGAAAGTCAGTTTAGCTACGTCTCCTTGGGACTTTGTTTCTTGTCATTTGAGGACTCTATCCAGCAAAACCAGATACAGCCCTTTGACCTTTGTCCGGAACTAGTCAATATGAACCTTTTCTTTATAACTTACACAGTCTGTGGTATTGTGTATTTGCAATGGAAAATGGACTAAGATACAGTGTGGGAGAACAGTTAAGGAGAACTGAGGCCTAACTGACCTCCTCCGTGAGCACAAAGGAGAAAGGTAGCAGGTTGTATTCCTTTAGCAACATGCAGAGATGATGGCACATTGCTGGTTCTAGGTAAAAGTTAATATAGCTGAGATCAGATTGTTTACCTGGCCATGTACTAGTGGATAACGGAAGGCAGGTGAATGTTGTGTTACTTTAATTGCTTGTGTCCATGTTTGAGTGAATAAAAGCAGGATGAGCCAAATGCTTGAGGATTGTCTGTCCAGAAGAAGCAGGAGCTCCCTGACTGCCTGTATGCTAGATTGTCTCTTTCATCTTTGTTCACCATTGGGTCAGAGTGTCAAACTAGCAGGACTAGATCTCTACAAGTGGCACCTTGGGTGTGGAAAGATCAGAGTAGGCAGGTTCCCCATAGATGGCATCTGGGCAGGGACCTTTAAGTTGACTGATGTGCTACAATTGGTGCCTGAACAGGGACATAGCCCAGAGTAGACTGGTTCACTGTAACACAGTCCAAGCAGGCTGATTTCAGAGCCCATAACTTGGAATAGCTACGTTTGGGTACTGAAGAACTACCTGAGTAAGGTATTTAAAGGAAGAGAAACCAAGATTGATTAGGATATGGTAAAATTGATTGGGGAGGCAGGTATGACCTGTTAATTACAAAATCCCAAGACATGTGCACAGAACAGTTCCTAAAGCCCTGCACATGGACTTCTGAACTTGGGCAGGTTTTTGATAAGATGGCCTAGACCTGACATCAGCCTGAGGTATGGGTGATACAAAAGACCTCCCATTGAGTTTCTGCCACTGTGTTCTCTCCTGTGTGGCAGTGTACCCACATGCTATATGGTGTACATGCTATATGGTGTACTTTTTTTCCTACTTTTACTTGTTCAAAACTTGATCTTTTGTTTCTTTTCCTATCTTTAAAAAAAAACTTTGCTAGGAATCCAGAAACCACCTCCAGGACACTCTTAACACCCCAAAACCTGATAACAGAAGCAGGTTCCCCATCATGGACCTTGGTCTTGCAGATGATGGTTGACACCCACAAGGTCTACACTAGTTCTCCTGTAGTAAGATGGGGGAAAAAACATAGAAAGGAGATAAGAAAATCATAACTAACAACTGTACCTCATAAAATGACTGCATCTTCTAGAACAAAGCTAAAGTTACCCAGGTCATAAATTGAGACAAATAAGAAACACAGATGTAGGAGCCTGGCAACTTGCATATGCCTGAAGGCTACAAGCGGGATCCTAGCAAAGGGAGCTACAGGCAGTCAGAAAGCCAAGCCAAAGTGGCAGCCAGAAAGATTCAGTGAAAGTGGTGTCAGTGACCAAGGCCTGGCACCTGGAAGATCAAACAACAAAGGCAAAGGCAAAATTTTCTTGTCCAGGAACAAGATATTCACACCCTATATAAAGAATGTCTTTGTTATGTTTTACTCATAATTTTAGCAATGTAGACTTTTTTTTTTCTTTTTTTTGTACGAAAGGCCTAAGCTGAGAGTCCTTTGGGATTCCCTCCCCAGGCTTATTTGCCGGCCCCTTCTTGCTTTCTGCTTTCTCTGTGATAATTTTGCTTTGTCTTTGCCTAGTCATGTCTCTTTGAGCACGGTCCTGACAATTGTTTTTCAGCAACAAGACTCACTGAACCTGCAAATCTATTTTGAAAGGGTGAGCTCTTCTTTTCAGCCTTGGAGACCAGCCCAAACAAGTGACACTCTCACATCCCACGGTGGGATTGTCTCAACAGTGGCTGCCCACCCCCTCTATTCCAAAGACAGCTTCTTGTTTCATACCACTATGTCTAGGAAGAGAGCTTGAATTTTGCAAAGCCTGCAGGAACTTCTTCCTGATATTGCAGGGCAAAACTGCAACACTGACAAAACTAAAGACTACGTTCATGTTCTACCAGGATGCTTTTGCAATCACTATCTTGGTTTTCACCGGCATTTCCGGGCTCACACAACTAGTTACCCAACACCCTTTTGCATATCTCATCTTGTCATGTTTTATTAAGACCAGAAAGATACTGAATAAGAGAGTACGGAGAAAGAATCAGAGAAAGAAAAAAACTAAGAGCATATTAGACGCAGGGCTGGAGCCCGTTCCTCTTACAAAGGTCCCTCAGGCACCCGTAGCTTCAGTTCCTGGGGCTTTCTCGCTGGAGTCTCCCTTAAGCACGGAAGCTAGCGCAGGAGGCAAAAGCAGATTAGAAGGGTGGAAATCAGCAAACACCACCGCAAGAGGGCTGCAACGAAACCGATCGCGGTGAAAGCCCCGACTTCCCAGACCCCTTCGCAGGGGGCGGAGCATAAGCCCTGCAGCCAATCGTCGCGCCCGCACGTTTCCGCGGCCCCGCCCCATCTTGCCCCCTCCGGTTTGGCCCTTCCCGGAGGCTGGAGTGGCGCCGACGTCAGCGCTAGGAGACCCCTGGGTGGCGGCGGCGCCGTGGGCGGGCCGCGGCTTAGAGGCGCTGCGGGGAGGGGCGGAGCGAGCGGGCGGCCGGGCGCTGGGCCCGCCTCGGCCGCAGCCGCCGCTGTCGGAGAATGATCTGCGCGGCCGCTGGCGGCCCGGGCTAGCGGCCACGAGCTACTTCTGCGGCTGCCCAGAGGAGCGGAGGTCGCCGGCCCTGCGCCGTCCCCCTCTCCGCCCTCCAGGAGGGGCGAGGGGGCGCCGCGGCTGATGTCAGGTACGGCCGGCGGCGGCGCCCTCCCCTGCGGGTCCACGGTGGCGGGGCCGCGCGACCCCTGCCCGCCCCGGCCGCGGGAGGGCGGCGGGAGGGTGGAACCCGTGCCGGGCGCGGCCGAACAGGTGCCGCGGGGGCTCCGCGCGACTCCCGAGGGCGGTGCGGCCACTTCCTGCCCCGGATCTCCGTGACTCCTGCCTGGCCGGGCGCTCGGGCCGCTCTCTCGTGGGCGCGGAGCCGCCGCCGCCGCTCGCCGGTCAGTCCCTTCCGCCTTCCCGCGTCCCGCCGCTCCGCGCAGCCCAGCGCTTAGCGGTTGCCGTCGCTCTAACCTGGTCCTCCCGCGGGGTTCCTGGCGGCCCGGCGCTCAGGTGTGCGGTCGGCGCCTCCCCGAGAGCCCGGGCTCGGGGCTGGCTGCGATCCTCAGGTTTGTCTGTGGCTGTTTGATTTTTTAAGTTTCCCTATTGCAGGGTGAAGGAGCCGGGTGTGTGTCGGGACACTTGCTGCACGGAAGAGCAAAGTAATTTTGTGTTGATTCTCCTCTCCTTGCCCCTAACACAGTGGGATGGGATTACTATTAAAGGGCTGGCAAGTTTGTCCACACTGCTTTGAATGTAGATGAGTTGTATACTTTTTAAAGATGACTGAAATTTAGGGATGGGGAATTATCATGCTTCAAACCGTAAAGCCTTGCCTTCTCCCCTTTTAAAAAATACCAGCAACAGAAACCACACATTTTGGAAAAACCAGCCAGATTTCTCAAGTCATTGTGGGGGTCCTGATAATTTCTTTTACTACTTTAAAGATTGAAAACTATTATACTAGTTATGAATTGATGTTTTAAATTTAAAAGTTAACTATAAAGTCAGAACTTTAATGTTTTATAGTAAATTAGGTAATGTGTAATGACCAGAAATTGTTGATTTACTAGAACTTAGGTTATGATCTTAAGTAGCTCTTCCTGGATACCACAAAAAAGCGCATATTTCAGGTGGCTTCATTTTGGTGTAAGCTTGGGAGCTGAGAGTCTTGAGGTTTTGAAAGGTATTTAAATGACAGCTTTGCGCTCCCATATCAGATAAATGTCAGATGAACTTATGCGCGTGATAGTTTGTCTTGTAAGTATTGTATATAATAAACTGCACTTGTTTTATTTTCTGCCAGCCTTAGTGTATATTGATGTGCAATTGAAATGAGAATAAAACTTCAAGTTACCAAACAGTTAACTCTTTTCACATATGTTAAGTAAAGCAGTGCTTTAGTAAGGAAAGTATGACTCATTTAAAATTCTTCGTAGGAAAAGAGAATGATTTTTTTAGTGCTAGTGGAGAGCGCATAAATGGCTTTCAGATTTGCCTGGAATTTGTTTTTCTATATCTTTTTACTTAGGGTACACTATTTAAAAATATTTTGTGGTTACTGCTCACTTAGAGGCTTTTTTCAGTTTTTTTAGGTTATGTTAGGATGCTGAATACAATATCTACAAATTCTAGGAGTTTATCACAAATTTGTTTAGGAGTACATATAGTGAATTATTGTTTACCACACCTTAGAAATACAAGTGTCCTGTTAGGCCTTGCTACTATTTATATATTGATTTGTGCTGAAATAAAAATTGCATCATTATAAAGCTTAACTTTATAAACCAGGATAGAGACTTTGAATAGTAATATCACTGGTTGAAGTTTTTGGGACAGTACATTTACAAATAAAACCTGAGCTGGAAAATAGTCAGTTCAGTTCAACTACATGTAAGTTTAAGCATCTCAATATAGATCTTTAAAAAAAAAAAAAAAAAAAAAACTTCGTTATTTGAGCAAAGTGCTTAATGAAAGAAAGGTTTAGTTTTGTTCTCCCAAAACTTAATATGATTGGCATTCTTAAGTTATGAAAGCAAAAGAGAGACTTGTTCCATAAATGTAAAGTTAGTATTTTACCTTAAACATCTAGTGAAAGAGAAATTTCATTGTGTACATAAAGCTTTATTTTGTAGCTAATTCAAATGTTCTGAGAAAATACATACCATAGTCTGTAATGTATGAAAATAAGAAGTGTCCTCTGGGGTTGAAAAAAAAATAAGCTGGTTTTAGGCCCGCAAGAAGATGACAGAAAGCAAAAAGAAAATAGACTAAGCTACCTAGCACCCATGCTGCATACAGTCTTGCATATTGAGGGCAAAAAGAAGCAATATTGGGGAGATTCTGAAACAGGAAACCTAATTACAATGAAAGCTACACATAAAAGAACATTTAAAGTAGTGAATGTTGGACAACACATAGAATTTGAAATTATATACAGCTTTGGGTAGTCTTTTGCATTCTTGATCACTATTTCCTAGATAACAGAGTACGTGACTGGACCATGTAAAACAGCAGAAATGTATTGTCTCAGTGCTGTAGATATCTGAAACCAAGATGCTGGCAGGGCCATGCTTCCCAGGTGGTTGGAGAGAATCCTTTCTGTGCTTCTTAGCTGCTTGTGTCACTGGCAGTCATTGGCTTCCTTTTGCCAGCAGCACTATCGCGCTAGCCTTTGTTATTATCACTTGGCATTCACCTTGCATAGCTCAGAAACTGGTTCTAAAAAATGTAGGCTCTAAATATACAGCATTGCTTTGTTAGAAATGCAAATTTCAGACTTCAGATTGCTTGATTTGGAAACGGACATAACAAGCCTTTGAGATGATCCTGACAGATTTAGGTTTGAGAACCACTGAGGAAAATGGAAACAAGATAGTAGGCAAGATGAACAAGTGAAATAATAGGAGATGTTCATAAGAGATGTTAGTAGTGTGATCAGGGAACATTTGAGAGGTAGATCTAAACGTTGAGGAAGAAGGTAAGTGAGGTATATTCCCAGAACAGCAATTTCAACAACCCAGGCCTGGTTGAGGAATTGTAAGGAGTTAAAAGGTAAAACACACTGAGGGAAACAGTATTAGTTTCAATCCTGTGAAATTTTTGTTTGTTCATTTTTTAATTCCAAAATCCCTGCATAAAAGGAACAGAGGAAGGAGTAGAATTTATATGAGGATCACTTCAAGATTTTGACTTTTTATGTGATTAGGAAGGAAGAAGATTTTTAGCAAATGGGTGACAAGATATAATTTCACTCTTAAAAGGATTACTCTGGCTGCTTTCAAAAACAGACTAAAAAAGACAAAGGTGAAAGAAGGGAAAAGTTGTCTAGAGGCTGTTGCAATGATTAAGGGGAAAAAGTGACTCAAGATATATTAGCTATGGAGAGAAGCAGTACAAGATTAAAAACACTAAAAGTAAATGTAGTGAAAAGTGAACGTTTGTTCCTTTTAATTACCTTAGTCATTGAGTTGCCCACTCAAGGACAATTAACATTCCAGGTCTTTATATATTCTTTCTAATATATTTTGTGTATACAGTGAATACAAGTAGTGTGATTAAAAATAAGGTGAATATTTAAATTTTAAAAATTCATTATGAAAAAAAGACATTGTCACTAATCTCCCTCAAAATATCGCCTCCACTTCTAACACACTAACCTACTTTCCTCATTGTTGCCCTGATGTCCTGAATAAGTTCAAAATGTTACAACAATTTCTGTCAAGTAAGATGTTGGTGGTGTTTTTCTCATCCATCTTCACCAGATCTGGCATCATGCAGATCTTCCGCTAAGTCAAAATTACAGTAAAAGGTAAAATGTTTTAAATTTGTTTAGAACATCTGGATAGCCACAATACTGCAACTAAAGACGCTTGGGACAGAGGCCTTTGTGAACTGCTTCAGAAAGTAGCAAGAAGTCTGGCATTGAAAATATTTGAAATGAGAGAATTTTGAGGGAAATTAATAGCAATGCATCTTTTACTGCAATGTTTTTAAAATATAAACATTCACTATATTCTTTGATCATGCCTCATATATGAGAAACTAAGTTTGAAAAGTTAGTAGAGTGGTTCTTAACTGATTTTCTCTCCAGGGAACATTTGGCCATGTCTAAAGACATTTTTGGTTGTCACAACTGCTCAGAACACTGTAGCTCCTGGGAAGTAGAAGCTAGGGAACATGGTAAATGCCTTGTAGTGCATAGGACAGCTTTTACAAAGAGTATTATCCGGCTCATAATGTCAATATGCCAAGTTTAAGAAACCCTAACTTAATGGTATTTTTACAAGTTTGGGCATAGTGAAGGGAAGAAGGCTTTGTAGTCAGATATTACAGTAGGAATAGAGCTAACTGCACTGGGATGTTTAGGGAATTCCTAAAAGATAAATTGTAAACCATGGAATCAGTAAAAGATAAGGGTGAAAACCTGGACAAAGTCTACATGAAAGAGAGCTGTTGCCCATCATGTTGAAGACTCTTAGTTTCTGTGGTGTAGGGAGTGAGGTTCTGTGAGAAAGGATCCACAAAGTGACATGGTAAACTTTCCATTTTAGGAGATCATTCTACTGTCAGTGGTGATGAGTTGGAGAGAGAGTGCTTAAGTCAGGAGACGGGTTATATATTGTAACAGCTTAGAAGGGAAAGGAGGATCTGGAGTAGGATCAGGACTAGAATGGAGACTAGATGATGGTTAGAAAAATAGGAAATAAAATTGGCAATACTTGGTAATTAAATTTGGGATGAGGATATGAGGAGCTTTAAGAATACCTCCCAGGGACTCAGGTTGTACTCCATGGGAGAGTGCATATGTTTTGTTTTTTTTTTTTAATTTTATTTTAAAGAGATTAAGCAGGGACTCAGGTTGTACTCCATGGGAGAGTGCATGTGTTTTGTTTTGTTTTGTTTTGTTTTTAATTTTATTTTAAAGAGATTAAGACAAAAGAGGACATAACAAAGCAGATCAGATGAGAACAATGCAAGCATTGCTTGCATTGTTCTGAGAGTGCGTGTTTAGCAAACATGTCAAGGCTCTAGGTTTGATCTCCAGCTCCCCTCTACAACAAAGGTCTCTCTAATTCTCATTTGATAACTAAATGAAATAGGAACCTTTTGTTGAATAATTTAGATAGTTACTAGTAATTAAGATAA